TTCCTTGTTCATTTTAATTTTATAATATTTTTATAAAAATATATTTGATTTATATGCACATATACAAGATTTGCTGTTTGTCAAAACAAAACATTTGACAGATTGCAACAGTGATGCCAATGACTCGCGTGACCAACATAGGCCAACATGCATTTTTTGCCGTACTTGCGAGCCACCGAAAAGGCCTATTAAAACCAAATAATTACATTTATAAGTGTACAAGCCGAAGCATTTTGTAACGGTTTGGTCTGTTAAACATTTTAACAAAGAAGATAAAGAAAATAAACGGACAGGATATTTTGAATAATTGTGTCTCTTTGTGTAATATCGCAAAAAAATCTCTCTTACTTATTCCCCATACCAGAATTGTCAAATATTAAAATCGGTGTGGCTTATAACACGAAATATTTACTACATTTGTGTTGCATATTAGCATGCAGTCATAAGAAGAATCAGTATAAATTATAGTTATTAGAAATTTCATGGTATATTTTAATGAGTAAATATAGGCATGATTTCCTTTCCGTATTTTTTTTAGTAGAATGATATTTGTGCACCTAATTGCAATTTTAGCACATTTTCTCGAAACTGATTTTTAATGTCAAAAAACCAAAACTGACAACGACAAAAGTTTGAATATTATCTGAATAATGCAGAAAACTTTAGACACAATTTTTCGAATAACTCTGTTTGTTTTCTTTATCTTCTTTGACTCTACTATCTATGTAAAATACGAAGCTTTAGCATGTAAATAAAAATTGTAAAAATCCCAACAAACTAGGACCAATTTTCATACTTTACTATTACTTATACCTATCTTTTCCATTCAATTTAATTCATCGCGCTGGAGTGTCGTGTATGTACATATAAAACTATTATATATTAAAGTTTGTTATTTTAGTTTTAAAAAGTTGCATTAATTTTAATAAGGCAATATTCGGGATGCAACACATATGAATTGTGTCAAATATAAATTGTACACAAATTATTAAAATTCAGTATTATTAGATATTATAACTACAAAATTTGGTGGTATAAATTTTATTATAAGCTTAAAACTCATTAAAAAACTTGTATTTGAAGTTAAAAGTGTTGTTAGTTTAAGTTTATAAAATACTCCTGAATGAGACACAAAGAACACATGAAAAAGAGATAAATAAACTTAACATGTTCC